TTCAGGAAGATCGAGCACTGCCTGGTTTTTTTTTGTTTTGTTTTATTTTTGTTTTTGTTTTTGTTTTTTTTTTTTTCACAGAATCAGCAAAGGTTTTCCCATTCCCATCCCACTGCCCCTTTAGAGAGGACCAGGAGAGCCAGGAAAGGGAAGGGCTCATGGGTCTAGATATTTTAGAGAAAAGTTTTGGGGGAAGATGCAAACAGTGCAGCAAGGCCTTTAAAACACCCAATTCAAAATGTGTGTATTGCTAAATGAATTACTGCCGAGCTGAAAGGCCTTCTACTCCAAATGTGGCCCGAATAGCCAACTTTGATTCTATTACCTGGTATTAATATGAACTCCTTTCAATCAGTTGGGATTGTTTTTTCTGGGATGTATCGGAGAGGCAAAGCCTCCTCTTGAAAGCTGTCTCCCTCCCACCTGGGTCATAGTGGAGGTACAACTGACCCCAAGTGAGGGTCCAGCAATTCTCACTTCAAGCATCATCAAGCTGATGAGGACAGTAGGAAGAGGGTGGCTGCATCTCAGACAGGGAGGAAGGGTGAGCTTTACTCACAAGCTCTCAGAGGAGCAAGGAGGAAACAGCTACTCCCAGCAGCAGAGCGACCATACCATACATAACATCACAGGACAGGAAGGCAAAGACCAATGGGATTTGACCCCCAAGGGGGTCACTTCAAGAATGCCAATGCAGACATTACTTGTAGCTCCTTTCAAAGCCATTCTCAGAGGTATTAGATCAGCAAAGTCAACGAAACAAAGACAGAGGTGACCGACATGAGATGCAGTTAATGGAGACGGATGTTCTCAGAACACAGGTTCACGGACTGGTTAGAAATGGCCAGTGAGATGCAGGACACACAGGTGTCACGTGTGGCCCCAGGGTTGCGGCAGGGTCAGCAGAGTGATCACAAGGATGGGAAGAGAAGCCCCAGATAAACATGAAGGCAAAGCCAGCTTGTTTCTTACCACTTCGTCCTCGGTAGGCTTGAAAACACAAATTTACACTTAGTGGGAAGCCATGCCACACAAGGTCACGAGTCATAAGCACAAGGTTACTGACTGTTTCTCGGGGAAGACCGTTAATGTTAAATGGGTCTAACGTGCTGGAGGCAGACATGCTCAGCATACAGAGAGCAAAACCAGCAGGATTTAGAGCATGAAGATACATATTTTTTTAAAGGCACCCCAACCCTTGCAATTCCTTTTTACAAATGTCATACACACAGTGGAAGTGGTCAGTTAGACTGAAAAGTTCAGTCACCTGGGTCCTCAATTCCTATTCTATTTGCTTGAAAAAGAACATAACAAGGGGGAAAAAAGAATATAACAAATAGATGACATTCACAAGTTCAGTTCACAGGTTCTGTGGCATGAGGGGTCAAGGCAAGCAGACCGGATTTTTAAAAAGCAGCTTGGAGGTGGTGGTTTAAGGAAAAGTCTAATTTGACCTTACTGCTTTTCACCCTCCCTGTAAAAAGTAGGCAAATAACATTTTTCAAAAGCTCAAATAATGTATCTGCCACAGAGAGCAGATTCGTGGGACAAGACTTTAAAAGGACCAGCGATTACAGTTCCAACTGGAACCATTCCTGGAAGGGGCAAGGGATGAAGAGGCTGCCCTAAAGGGCCTGTGTTTCTGGTAATAAGACCTGGGAAGCCGGGGCCTCCGCTGCCCTCGGTCCCCAGGAGCACAGTTAGTAATTGAGATTTGCGTGCAGAATACTGCAGGCAACTCGGAATTCAAGTTCGGACCATGAAGCAAAACTGCTATGGGTGCTGCCGGTGACACCTAGAGTTCAGAGCAGGCCCACTGGAAAAAGCTGTTGTGCCCTAAGAGGCCCAGAAGGCAGGCTGATCATTAGTATTAGTATTTTCATTTTCTAAGAAGACTGTAGGGAGGCCTCCTATGCACATAAGCCTAGGGCTGACCCACGGTAGAAGGAGAGGAAGCCCACGCCACTGGATCTTACCTCTTCTGCGTCCTCTGAATGGGTGGAGAGCTGGTCATGCTGAATAATCTCAGCATCCTCCTCTGTCGGTCCGTTGCCCACCCTGATCCCACCAAAGTTGAGAGTTCCCTACACAGATGAACAGAAAGAGTAGAATTTGCCTGGGCTTTAATGTGACATTCTGTGAGTGGGGAAGGGTGATGGTTAGTACATACAAACCTCAGAAAAGCATATATTCTAACAACAAAATCAAAACCCGCTGATCCAACAGCCAAGTAAAAACAAACCACTGTTCCCACCCCAACCAGCACCGCCCCAGCCCCAGCCCCAACTACATTTACCACCTCATTCTGATCAGAGGAAACATGCAGCCTGCTGCACCAAGACTCACCAACCTGGCCTTGGTCAACACTAACTGAGATGACTGCTTGAATGAAAAGCTTAACCTGAACGGACTCTTACAATGAGTGTAGCTCTATCTGTGAAGTTGTCAGTGGTCTAAGTTTTTCTAGAACTAAAGATCAGACTTTCTAAGAGGGAGTGGAGCCAAATGACATGGTGACCATAACCTGGTCTGACAAACTTTCAACTGGAACCCAAGAGTTCCAGCAACTTCTCCCAGAAGCATACTGGGTTTCTGCCCAGAAACAAAGGACTTCCTAGATCAGGGAAGGGAGAAATCTATATGGACATCAGCTTGCGGCCAGAGAATACTGAGGTCAAAAAA